CGCAGCCGGCAGACAGAACGCAGGTCAGGAGCAGCCACCTTCCACGGAGACATCTGAGCAGCAACACAAATTACCCAGGGTTCGCTCCCGAGCTCCCAGGGAGGGGAGGCGTGTCAGTTACACAAAGGGCACAAAGCAGGTGGGTGGCCTGTCGGGGGTCGCATGCTGAGACACGGTCAGAACGGGGTCTGGCCTGGGTTCCCTTGCTCCAGTCCTGTCCCCACTGCCTTCAGGACGCGTCCAGGCTGAGTCTTTGCAGCCTGTTGGTTCCACAGTAGTGGCTGGTGACTTACTGGCTTCTAACAAGGGACATCTGACTGAACCCCGCTTCCCAGCAGAGGAGGACCCCGAAGGCCAGTTTTCAGTTGTTTGACTTATGCCTGGGAAAAATCAAGGACCCTTGCAGCTTTTTGGCCAACTTACCGTCTTCCTTAGAAGATTGGAAGGAATGCGGAATGTGATAACGTTGCGGGGCCTCAGGATAACAGGGACCTTTGAGCCGGGGGCAGGCTCTGATTTCATTGCCCTTCCCTCTGCTTTTATAGAGAAGCACAAATGGGCTAGAATGGACGGTTGTCTCATAAAAAGAAAAGAAAAAGGAAGAGCAGGATTGTGCTCGGAATTGTTTCCCGTGGTGTTTTCATTGATGCTTCAGCCTCGGAATTACTTTTTATGTGGTCGTTGCTTGTGTGACCATTTACAAAGCTTTATTCCTTTTCCATTGTCCTCAGTTATAGTGGGTATTAGACGATGGAAAAGATGGTAAAGATTAGGATTAGAAGATGGAAAAATGAAACTGAAGGTAATAATTCAGAAATACTCCCATTTATCTAGCATTATCATTTTCTTCTTTGTGAAAAATGCATTTATTTGCATGCCCTGCGTTTGCAAAGCATTAAGCCGCATACAAGTTGCAGGTATTGGTTTATTTATATTCCTCCCTTGTTCCACAAGATTTCCGAGGTGGCTTACAAGAAAAACAATAAAACAGCACGATGTAAATAATAAATTAAAAAATAAGAACCAGAAAAAAACACAAATCAAAATGGAATGTCAAAACTAGGAGGAAGAAAATAGAATGCAGAGATTCAAACCATACGGCCCTCCGGTTTCCGCAGTTGGGCTGCGAACCTGACCTAGAACCAGCGTGAGAGGGGAATCCAGTCCAGGGTTCAGCTCGAAAGGTCCTCGGTGACATCTGCCCCTGTAGACATTTTTCTAAGACCTCTCATACATTTCCCTGCTTTCCCGTATAGACTAGAGCGACACATATCTATAAATGCATACGTAAGCTTTTCTGTATGATTCAGAATTATTATTGAGAACATAAGGCTATTTGTGTTTCCTCAAGGATTACCAAAGAATTATATTTTGGTTTGCCCCACACTCTCTGATTTTTTGAATTCTTGACTCCGGTAACCTCCCTCCCTGAGTTCTGCTCTTTCAAGTTTTGCTTTGCTCTTCGGGAGACAGAAGCAGCAGCTCATTAGGACCTGGGGTAAAGAGAGCATGGTAAGGCCTTGAAGGAGGATCTGGGGGGCTCTGCTGCGGGAAGGTACCCGACATGAGGGGATGGGCTGGGTGAGGTCGAGATGGCTTCTCTTCTGGGTTCTCTGTTTTGAGAGCTGAGATATCCAGGCAAGAGCTCTCTGCACACGTAAGGTATTCCTGTAGCCAGAATGATAAGGACCCCTTGCACAAACTCTTGTTTACCCTGGAAATGAGGGATTGTGGACACGTGCACACACCATGTGCAGAGACGGGGTGTATTTGTGAGTTTGGGGTCTGCAGGTGGCAGGTGAGCGATCACAAACTTGGCCCAGCCCACGATGCCTCCTAATTAGCATAACATAAGGTCAGCCGGCAGGGTCAGAACCGCGCAAGCTCAGCGCATCCCGGGGTGCCCTTCCCGTGCGTTCTCCTGCAGAGAGCAGCCCACGCTTGACCACGTCAGAGGAGCACCAACGCCCCTGCTGTCCCTTCACGTGGAAGTCGTTACCTTTTCACAGACAGAAAATTGCAGATTGTTGGAGCTGCATTTTCATAGACATTTAGGTGTCAGAGCATCTAAACAAATGTATGCTTTGGGCATCTCCCTTCCCTCCTCGGGAGGCAATGCCTTAATTATTTTGACCGAAGCCAGACCATGTTGTGTGCTGTAAACATCTGGTTTATCGTTCATCCAGCTCAACTGGTTTATATTTTGTTAGAAGAAAAGGCTTGGGATTAAAGGCATTTGAGTAATTAAGCACATGTCAAGACGATTTGGTGATGGGTAAATATAGTCTCTGTTAAATGCACCGTCTGGGGGTCTGGTTTGGATTTATGTCCGGCTGGACACAGGGATGAAAGCAGAATGCTGGGCGGACTGGGCCCTGTTCTGGGGGGATCAAAGCCAAATGGGTTTCCAGGAGTTCAGCACCATCCCTCTAAGTACCTGTCCTGCTGGATGAACGTTGCCTTTGTGTTTGGCCTGGAGGGAGTTGAGCTGCAGTCCCCCTCACCCAGTGGGCCTGGTCGATTTAATGAGACTCTCTTTGGAGGCAGACTGTGCTTTGGGTAAGCCTTTGTGTCCAGGAAGCCAGGGGTGTCTTGCAAGGCCTCAGGTGCTGTGTCACGACTGTGTTTTCAGGTACTGCCCTGTGCTGTGCCTCGGCCCTGGCCCCGTGGATTCAGGGCTGCAGAGCTGCCCTGGTGGGGGCGGAGCTGTTGCTGGGGCTGGGCAGAGGGCAAACGTGAGCCTTTCCCCTTGGGGATGAGCGTTATTATCAACAGGTGTGAAGTACCTGGTGACTTGAAGGGACTTTGGGGATCAGTAGGGGGTCCTTGGTGAGCCATGCTTTGTTTAAGCAGAGGCATTGCTTCTCTCTGGGGCGAGAGGGAGGGGAAAGGGTGCTCAGTGCTCTCTCCTTGCCAGCCCCCCTTCCAGGAGCAAGAAGACCAAAGGTGGGGGTCTCTCTCTCCCTGGGTCTAGAACAGAGAGGAAAGATGGTAGATGTCACCCTGAAGAAGAAAGCTTCACCGTCACAGCCAGCTGGATAGTGTGTGATGGAACCAATTAGCCCTTTCTGCTGAAAAGGGAGGAAAAAATTCAGAATTTCAATTTTCAAAGCAGGGGATTTTTTTTTTTTTAAGTTTGACTATTTTCTTCTCCTTTCAGACTGATTTCCATGCTTGTTTGGGGTAGAATCTTGGTGTCTGAAGTCTGTGAGTGAGAGGACGAAGCAGTTCCCATTCTTGGGTGAAGTTCTGGACAAATCGTTGCTTTTCCACTTGCCTCTCCCCCTCGCCAGCCCTCCTCCTTTGATGAGCCACCCCCTCCTCCGCCCAGCAGCCACTGACGGGGTTGCCCATAGGATGCTGGCCGGAAGAGGGGAAGCGCGCAACCCTGGGGACAGAGCCATGATCAGTTACAGCGTCTTGGGGCTCTGGGTCCCTGCGTTAGGACAGTTCAGGTTTGATGACCTGAATTGCACTGGCTCCAACGCAAAGAACCACGTGTGTGGGCCTCCCTCTTAGGAAGCGGGCTCGTCGACTAGAATTTAAAGTTTCTTCATCAGCAGAGGTTTTGCCAAAGGAAACTGGAGTAGCAGGAAGGGGGCTGCCTGTGAGAAGTGGGGAGAGAGACTGAGACAACTTTCTCTGTAGGAAACGTTATCCCCCCGGTAGAGACCGCTACCCCTTCCGTGACCGCGGCAGTGAAGTGGGTGCTGTGGGAGACTCGGTGGGGGGCGGGGTGTGCTCCCTGGTCTCGGGGACCTTGCAGGCCTTTGGAGGACCCCAAACGTGGAGCTGACAAGGTTCTGGAAGTGAAGTGAGCGCTTGGTGCCAAAGAGCGTGCTTTCAGGTGGTAGGTAGGGCGCGTAGCTTTAGACCTGCCGTGATTCCAGATCTTCTGGAAGCTCCGGCAGCAGGACCCAGGGGTTCAGGTGGTCAGCCTCATCTCTCAGACACTGGGCTACTGTGCGAAGCAAAGCGGAGAATTTAGCAGGAGAGTTTAGCACCTGCCGAACTTTCCCGTGCCGTTTTGGGACTGTCTTCAGGGTATGTACTGCTACGTGACGACCCCGGGGTGGGTGCGGGGTAGTGTGTGGGGTGCGGTCTAGCCGGAGCCCTACCCACCTGGGGTGCTTCAGCCTCTGTCCCTGTCGATAGCCCTTCTGTAGCTTTGAACCGCCCCCCGGCCCCTCCCGACGTGGGCCTCCTTCCCTTGGTCATTGTAGGGTGGCTTCGCGTGGCTGTGGTTATGGCTCTTGAACTGATTAATGATGCTCAGAGTGAAACTGTAGTCTTGTGAGGAAGATAAATCTGCAGCTCCGTCAGCCGCCGGGGCACCCTCCCCTCCCCCATCCATGCGCCCTTTGCTCCCCCCCGCCCCCACGTCATTTCTGATGTTTTAGGTGCATGTACAGGCCAAGGAGGAAGCTTACAGGCAGGAGAGGCCGGGCGCTTCGGTGATGCCACAGCACTGGCAGAGTCGCCCCTTCTGCCCGGTGCCTCACAGCCTCCCGAGGTCCTCAGCTCCCACGTGGGCCCCGGCCAGGCGCTCTAGCATCAGTGTCCCGGATCTGAGGCGAACAGGGGCGAGGTTTGAGGAAGAGGAGGCTGATGGCAGGGCGAGGATTGTGTGAGAGCCTCTGAGGCCTCCGAGCACATGGGGGGGCACTGACTGGGTGCGGCGTGTAGAAATCTATGAATTTTCATGAGTAACTGTTGTCTAGATTTGTCATCCAGCCTTGTTCTCCGTCCAGATGACCTAGCATTTGGACGTCACCCGTGTTTCCCTCCAAAAGCCGTTTTCTCCTTGTCTCACTACTCTCTGCCATCTCTGGAGAGAGTGGTTCAGGGCAGAGAGTGTTCTGGGGACCAGGGAGAGCAGTGTGTGCCGGGGACCCCCCCCCGCCCCAAGTAAACGTGCATCCTCGCGGGGCAGGGTCCTCGGTGCTGTGAGCTGGTGAGACACGGTCCCTCCCATCTGGGAGCCGGAGGCCCGGGGCGGGGCATCCTGAGTCAGATACAACATAGCACGTTACAGTCTCTGAACAGAACCATGAGTGAGACAAGTGAACGCCAGCGCCCCGTGCTGTGCGGAAGGTCCTCGGGGGTGAGCGTATTGGAGTTTCAGGGGCAGAGCTGTTTGTGCAGATAACACCGACTTAGCAGGGGCTGCTGTGTGCCAGCGATGCGGAGTAGTGCTGGGATAAAAAAAGAAAAATGAATCCCTTATCATGTGGTTTTCACACGTGGTGGTCTCAGGACCTCTTTACACTGTTCAAAATTACCGAGAGCGCCCACAGGGCTTCTGTCTAGGTGGGATGTGTTGGTCAATATTTACTGTATTAGAAGTTAAAATGGAGAACAGTTTAAAGCACAAGGGTACGCAAGCCCATGTCCCATTAGCTGTCAGGAGGGTGATGTCACCTGTCACCAAATTCCACTGTGTACCTGTGGGACAGTAGGAGTGAAAAAGCCAATAACGTCTCAGTATTATTGTGAAAAGAGTTTTGACCTTACGCACCCCCTGCAAAGGTCACGGGGACACACGGGGCTCCCCAGACCACACCTTGAAAACTCCTGGCTGCTCTGGGATCTAATGGTCCAGGCAGATGAGTCGCAGACAGTAATGAGCCTGCCCTGTGAGGGAGCAGGGAGGGGCAGAGCTGAGCTCAGATGAAGTGTGGTGGGATGGTCTGGCATATACTTTTATTAATTATAAGTAATCCACATGGTCATTCCTACGCTGTCACTAAACACAGATGCTCTCCCCGGATGGCTGTGGCCGTGGAGGGTGGTTGGTGGTGGTGAGGGTCCCGGGACTGAGACGATCTGAGTGAGGGTAGGAGGAATGTGTCATCTGAGCGAGCGTACTGGATATTCAAACATAACTTTGCACTTGGGAAATGAAAAAGTATCACTGTTCTTACACTAAGAAGTAAAACCCAACAAAAACTTCTCGACTGGGACGGTCTGGAGGAGAGGGCAGGGGTTCTCAGCTGAGAGGTGGGGTGGGAGGGGTTAAATCTTTACAGGAAGACCAAGGTCAAGTCAAGAAGCCCGTGCCCTCCAGTTACGCCTCTGACTTCCTTCTCTGTAGGTATTAACTCTCTGATAGCAAGTAACGTCTACGAGGCTGCCTACCCCCTGCACGACGTGAGTACCGCCCGCGTCGGGGCAGTCCCTGCGGTCTTCAGGTGGCTGAGCACCACGGGTGACACGGTGGGGAGCAGATGGGCTGGAGGCAGGAGCGAGCTGTGACCCCGAAGCTCCTGGGCTGGTTCTGGGCCACTCGTGACTGACGGTCGTGCCCGCGCTGGTTTTTGCCGGTGTCTCTTGGTCATCTCCCCGATGGCTGAACAAGCTGGTTTTCCTTCGGGCTTTCCCCGCACTTCCTGCCTTTATCTTGGGGAAAGTATGAGAGATAGAAATGGCGTGCGGGGGGCTAAGAGATGGGGAAGGTGGGTGGATGGTGGGGAGGGGAGGTCCCAGGCCTGGATAATATGCAGCCTGGACGGTCAGGCCCTTAAATGACCCGAGAGTGATGTTTGATATGTGGTCGTTTTGTGGGGACATTAAAATTCCTCAGCCTTCTATGCAGGTACATATTAAGTGTCAGATCTTTTTCATTTAACCTAACATTTTTGAAGCAAATCTCTCAAAATTCCTTCTACTGTTGTGGGATTAAGTAAGGAAAACAGAGAAACTATGATCAAAGCTTTCCTTGGCCGAATAACATTATAAACGTCCCATAAGAAGATGCAGTGGTATTCTTCAAGATGATTCGTGAGGAACTTAGCTGGTCCGTGAACTCAGTGCCCCCGGGCCACCTTGTTCACCCCGTTGGTCACTTTAGCAACTGCCACACAGCGGTGCCAGATGAGACCACTGGGATGGGGACCCCCACTGTCTGAAGGGATTTCCCAGTGACCTCTTCTTCTCGCCGACATCCCTGCTGTGGGCCCCCCGTGAGGTGAGGGTCTGCCAGGTGCAGACAGGGCGCAGAGAGGTCTTCCTGACGTGCTAGCCCGTTCCCAGGCAGGCTCTGCTGCTGCACGTGGTGCGAGGAGGTGCAGGGAGACCTCTGACCCCTGGAGGGGGCTTCCCGTGGGAGAAGCTGTCCCCAGGCCACACAGCAGGTGTTGGTGACCAAGGAAGCAGACCAGTGTCTCCTAACCCTGCGTGCTCTTGACCTTTCTTAAATGGGGATGAAAAAAAGGGATGATGTTAGAAAGTTAAAAAGAAACCTTTCTCTGTCTCTGATAATTCCTTTTTCCTCCTGCAGGGTGAATATGACAGTCCAGGGGACGACATGAATGACAGAAAGGTAAGCCGGCCTGGTGCCGTGCCGGGGGCTTTGGGCACAGAGGGCCATGCGTGGGTGTGGGACTGGGGACAAGTGTTCTGTTGACTGCTCACCTATTTCCAGCAGTTTTCCCACAGCCCCCTGTCCCCGGGCCTTTGGAAACGTGAGGTCACTGACGTGACTGTGTATGGGGACGCTGCCTGGTGGGCCAGGGGTGCCGGCTATCCTGAAATACACCCAACAGTCCCTTGCCAAAGCGGTGTCCCCGCCCCTGGTGGCAAGAGAGCTTCGACTAAGAGACACTGAGCGTCCAGATCCCTTGATTTATAGGGGTTTGGGGAAACTGTGGCACAGCCCAGTGGGGTACCTTGCCCATGATAGTGCTACCTCGATAAACAGAGAAGGGCTAGGACCTCTCTGACCCTCACATCTTCCTCTCCTCTAGGCAGACAGGTGGAGTGCAGCCCCTCCCAAACTGCAGATGAGAAATCTGCTGTCTGCTCTGGGCAGCTAAGAATGAAGGTTACATTTAGGGGAGGGAAAAGAGACCTCTTGGAGGGTCCCTCCTATGCCGGTGACAGCTCCTGCCTGGACAGCTCTGTCCCCAGTGCTCCACCTAGGTCCTGTGTCTTCTGCCTGCTGGTACTCTGGGACTGGGGTGCCGCCCTCCCTGCCCCGGCATGGTGCTCTAAGCGTCACCCAGCCTCCTGAGCGGGGGCTGCCTGTCTGGCCGTCACCCCCTCATGCCATCCTTCCACCCAGGTTTCCCAGCCTTCAGCGACTCTGGGGAGCAGAGGAGGGCGGGGGCGAGGGAGGGTGGGATGTGCGCTTCCCGCCCCTCGCCCCGACTCTGCTTCTGGAGAACCGTTCATCCCCCAAGTTGCCTTTGGAGCAGCCTTCTTTTCATCCTGCCTATTAGGCCCTGTTATGAAGTGTTAAGTATTAAAAACATAAAAAGGTCTTTTCCAGAAATACTGCCGTGATTGCTTGCACATGTCCCCTCTCTGCCTGCCCAGGGATCTGCTGGAGCTGGGCTATGTTTGAGCCTCACCTGTTTTCTATCCAATGCTAATAGTTTCGGTGTTTAATTTCCTGAAAAGTCCCGGATCAGATTTAAAGGGGAAGGAGGAAGCCTGTCTCCCCGCATCTCACCTGGCTCACCCCAGTCATTTTTCTGTCCTCCGTTTCACATTCCTCCCCTTTAAAGAGTGGTCCCCACCCACCGCCCACCTGCGGGACCTCCTGCTGGGTGGGTGGCGACCCCCCCCAACCTGTCAAGGGAGAGAGCACTTTGCAGGAATATTCCAGAGACCAGGAACACACAGAACTCATGGGAGACATCAGGCGGCCTCCTGTGATCCGCACAGAGGCAGGGAGAAGCAAATTGTAGTAGACGACCCCAAATACGTGTGCGTTTGTCTTTGGAATGACATTATATTGTTATTAACAACAAAACCTTTTAACAAGGTTTCCTCCAGGGGCTGGTTTGCTTACGCCAGCAGAATCACTCCCGGTGCGCACCCCAGCTGTTGGAATGGGTGGAATCTGGGAGGCAGGGAGAGACCAGCCAGGACAGAGCTGCATCTCGGTGGCAGTTCCCAAGGCTGATGTCAAAAGGATGCTCGGTGAGGGTGCACGAGTGTCTTTAGAAGACAAGGAGCCCAATTCTTGTGGCTTTTCCTTGGCTTTACCAGTTGGTAGTGGCGACCTTGTTTCCCTCTGCCAGAATGACGGTTAGGGAAATAAAGTTGGCTCTGATGGGGGGTAAGGGAAGTGAGGAGTGAGAGCGAAAGCTTTTTTCCTGTCCATTTGGGTTGGGAAATGGATACTCAGCAAGGCAAGGAGGCTGGTTCCGACGTCCACAAGTGTCCAGTCAGGACTGAAATCTCGGCGTCCAGATCCCAGCCAGGTGGACACAGGCTCTGTGTTTGGCAAGAGGAAAGCTCACTGCAGGGCTGAGGTCCTTCCTGTGGCTTCAGTGGTCTATGGGGGAGCGGCTAAAAGGTATCCTGAAGAAAGAGCCCAGACCTCTGAATGTAGGCAGCACATTTATTAGCTTTTGTTGCATTATAAGATCGAGTGTTCCTCGTGGGGCTGCAGGAAGGGTTTTGGCTGGAGGTGAGGGAGAGCCCTTGGGTATGTTGCTGGAGGCGGTGGAGAAGGGTTGGGAACTGCTGCGGGGTCCCCACTCTGGGAGACTTTGGGGCTGACCCGCCCTCCTGCTGGTCCCTGGGGTTCGGTTCTCTCTTCCCTGCGATCTGTGGCTGTTCCCGGGCTCCTCGCAGGCAGAGAGGATCTCCTTCCCTCCCTCCAGCTTGCCTTCTGCAGTCCTGCTCCATGACTCAGCCCCTTCCTGGAGGGTGATTAACAAGAGGCTCCCTCCCTCTGGAGAACAGGGGTTTCCTGCCTTTCCAGAGAACGGGGCGTCATGGATGTGGGTGTGGACCCACCCCTCCCGCTCAGCCACCCGATTCTGCATTCGCCAGACTCGCCTGCTTTCCCCGGTGTCCCGGGGAAGTGACCATTACCACCATCTGAGGGCTGCCCGAGTCCCGCCAGTGCCCCGTGGCTTCCCCGCGCACTTCCAGGGGGAACCCAAGGCACAACCTGGGAATATGAGTTCCTTTAGCAATCTTTAAACCCTTGGTCCTGGGTTTTCCAGCTTTGGCCGATGACTGTCTTCTCCAGCGGGCGGTTAAACAGTGACCTTCTAGAAGGGGGTGAAGCGTGCTGGTCTCGTCTGTCTGACGGGAAAGCTGCTGCTCTCCTTGGTTTCGCTGCAGGACTAGCTTTCCCACCCTGCGCCACTCCCGTTCCGCTAACTGAGAAGACCTAGGTGGTGAAGTGACCTGCCAGGAGCTCACACAGGTCATTGCAGGAACTGGGTGTAGAAGTCCGCCCTCTCCTGCCCAGGTCCACCCTGTCCCATCGATGCCTCTAGGTCGTCTGCATCTGGTTTCTCTCCGTCGCAGGTCCAGCTCCTCTCCAAGGAGCTTGTGGCCTCAGGGAAGGCCGTGAACCTCACACATCTTGCCCTTCTCTGGCATCGCAAGTGGTCTCAACAGTGGAGTTCCTTTATAGTCTCATGAAATACTTAAACCAGCTGACCCACGGTCGCATGTGGCCCTAGGAGCTGGCCTGGCCACCAGTGTGCTCTGAGCCCTCAGAGGGAGTGGCCCCTGTGGCTTGTTGCTTCCTGCCATAAAGGTCTGGGGTCAGACCCGTGTGTCTCCGCAGTAAAGCTCTGTGTGTTGAGAAGGAGCCGCAGGCCCTCCCTGCCCTCCCTGCAGGCTTGGCCATTGATGAGGAGGTCGCGGCGTAACTCTAAGGGAGGGAGTGGACTGGCTAAGAGCTGTATTAGAAGGTTCTAGACCCTGTGAGTTTAAAGGGACTGTTACAAGTTACTGTGATTGTCCCCTTGCCCTTGACTCACCCCACACTAACCCCCGTGGGGCAGAGACTCCTGGCGTGCCTCCCTGCACCCCGACTGCCCGTCTGCTCTGGGCCCCTGGAACCCGGGGCTTTGCATGACCCACTTGGTGTGCGTGCGATTAAACATTTGTCGGGACAGGGACGGCACCCTCCGCCCATCGCCCCGCCTCCCCTGCAGGGCTATGCAAGCTGGCCTGGGCAGAGCCACACCGGCGTCCGGGTGTCACTGTCGCATCACCTCCCAGATCTGGGGCCCCAAAGCCCCAGCTGTTACAGGGCCACCTGACAAGTTCCTCCTCCATGCCCACTGCGCCCGTCCATGTCCAGCTCAGGCAGCTCTCATGCCTCAGCCTCACCTGTACCCGCGAACTGTGGGTGCAGCCTCGTGCTGAGAGGGTGCCGCACTGAGAAAAGACTCTGGAGATTTCGTCCAGCAGGCCCAGTTGAGCCGCCTGGGCCATGCTGGCTTCTGGGAGCATTTTCAGTTTTTCCCTCCAGGGCGGCATAAGGCAGGTGCTCTCAGGCTCGGGTTAGGGCTGGGGACCCGTGTCTTGGAGAGGCATTTGCTCTGGAGGTCGGGGCCTGAGAGGCGGGTGGTGACGTCCCGCAGCCCACCAGGGAGGCCTTGCCTGCACCTCCTGACGCAAGCTGGCCTCCCCAGGGGCCACAGATGGTGTCACGGTGACAGCCAGGTGCTGCTGAGTTCAGGGTTTACACTGGGGAGAGGAAATAAAAACCCAGGGCCGTAGAAGCACCCAGATGACGGGGAGGAGGAGCTGTAATACTAGCAATAAGGTTGGGCTAGGAGTCGCCTGCTCACAGCGTCAGAACTCACGGATTCAGCTCTGCCTCTGCCCCTCGTGTGCTGGGCAACCCCTCCCGCCCCCCATGTCTGAGTTTCCTACTTTGCAAACGGTGGTAACCATGCTCACCAGGGTCCACGTAGTTCCTGGTTCTCCGCGGTTGTCGGGAGGTACTGTGGCAGTAAAGGTCTATAGCCATTAAGTAGGAATGCTGGTTCTTATCTCAGTTTTACTATCATGTCCTTCAAGATTCTCTAAAGGTGGAAAGGGTGGCTTCTTTAGGGGCTGACTTCACCTGGATCTTCAAAATACCTGATTAGGGTAGCCCCCCCCCCCGCCAGAATGCCGTGTGAGCCCTGTGTGATCTGCGAGAAGATGTGATGGGGGAGAACACAGACGCAGAACAGCAGCCGCCCTGTAGGCTTGTCAGTTTCACCACGCGCTGATACCTGTTTAGCACGGATATCCAGGCAACGTCCGGTGACGGCCCATTACCAGGTCACTCCATTTGCTTGGGGGTGATCTGTGATGCTCGCTGCCCAGGTGTTTGAAAGTCAAGTGTGGTTTGCTCTTGGGGTTGGTACACAGGGCTGCCTCCAGGCCAGTCCTCTAGAGCTGCTGTGGGAACCTCACGGGCTGGCATGGTCTGACGTGCTGGGAGCATCATTTCCTCCCTTAGAATGTGTTCCCCTCGGGTTTTACCCGCACCTGCCACTGAAGCCACTCTTCTCGAGGCCACCCGTGACCTTCAAGTCACTGAATCCAAGGTCGCTTCTCCATCCGCGGCTGCCCTGGGCCATCAGCAGTATCTGACCCAGCTGCCCCCTTTCTTCCCTGTGACTCCCACCATCCCTGGGCTCCCAGGACGCCGCACACTCCAGTTCTGCTCCACATCACCGCTGCTCCTCTGCCTCGTTTGCTCTTGACCTTGAAACCTTGGGGCACCCTGGGCCCAGACTTCAGGCCTCTTCTCCACCTGCTCTCACTTTGCATCTGTAATGTAATGACTTTACAAATCATCTCTTCTCTGATAACTCCCTGGTCTACGTCTCCAGTCTGGACTCTCCTTGGAACTCCAGACTTTTATATCCAGCTGCTCACGCTGTGTCCCCATGTGGCTGCATCTCAAATGAACACATCCCAGATGGAGCCGTTGGTTCCCCCCTCCCCAGCCTGTTCCCCGATTCAGGAAACAGAATCCCCATTTACCCAATCGCGCAGGCCAAGTTCTCATGTTCCCTCATTCCTCATCTGATCCAACAGGAAATCTTACTCGCTCTCCCTTTAAAATGTGAGCAGAATCAACCGCTTCTCACTACTTCCTCCATAACCTCCGAGGTACCAGCCACCATCACCTCTCCCCTGGACCAGTGCAGGAGCTCCCCTGCTCCTGTGCCAGCCCTCACCCTGCTCCCCGTACAGCAGCCAGAGCGGCCATCTGCCATCTAAACCAGAGCATTCCTCCCCTGACCTGCCCGTGGCTTCCTTCAGAGACGAGACATTCTAGCATGGCCCACAAGCCGCTGACTGGTCCAGCCACCCAGTCCTCTCTCACATTAACTCCCATGTCCTCCTCTGCTCCGTCCCAGGCCTACGGCTTCCCTGTTCTTCCTAGGCTGTGTCACGTGCACTTTCCTCAAGGCCTTTGCAGAGAAGGAGTGTTCTGCCTGAAACATCCCGCCTGCCGACTTCCTTCAGGTCTCAGCTCAGGTGTGACCTCCTTAGAGGGGCCTGCCTTCACCATCCTATCTGAAATAGCGCCCTACCCCACCCCGCCTCCATGGTCTACCCCCACCTTGATTTATATTTCTCCATGGCATTTATATTTGTCCCTGCACACCACGGGGCAGGCTCTGTGATGCCAGCCACTTTTTCTGGTCTACTGCTTTATCCGGTGTCCGGACAGGGCCTGCATGTGGCTGATGTGCAGTAAATACTTGTTAAACGAGTGAGTGAAGGCCAGGCCTCATGTTGCTGGACGCAGCAACTCAAGGGAATGAAGAGGGAGGGATAAAGGTCACCTCTACTCTTGGTGGGGGCGAAGTCAGCATCCATGGTCTCCTGCCTGTGGGCGTCTCATGAGAATCTTCCTGAAAGCTGGGCTTTGGGGATTCCGTTTTCACTTGGTAGGATGGCTTTGGGGTGGGGGTGTCAAATTTTGACTTGCTAAGATGGATAAACAAAAGATGAATAGTTGCCCCCATCACTTCTAATCTGGTTCCCTGTTTTTCTCGTTTAGCTGCTGTATCAAGAATGGGCACGCTACGGGGTGTTTTACAAGTTTCAACCTATTGACCTCATCAGGTAAGATGTGGGAGGGGACTCTGGGGAGGACTGGAAAAATCTGTCCACCCTCTTGGCCCCTGGAAGTCTGCTGGCCAAGCGAAGAGCTCAGCTCTTCTGGGTTGTGACGCCCCTGCTCGTGGACTGGAGGGCAGTGGCGGCTGTGGGGCAGCAGGTCATGGGGACGGATGCGTCGTGGCTTCCATCTTGAGGTCTTAAGTACTGTGGCCTCTCCCTGTCTGCTCTTGTCGGGGGAAGGGTGAGTAAGGGTTTCTCCTTTATCCCCGTCCCTTGAATTTGCCTGGAGAAGGATCTGAGTCAAGCAGATCCCCGGGTGGCCACGGTGTTGACCACGAGGAGGGAGGGCCCGGCAACTCACATGAGGAGTAACCCGGCTGGTCTGAGAGGAAACGCGGGCTTTTGATGGCTTCGCCGTAGAATCAGAAGGGAGACGACTGGATCCTGAAACCCCTCCCTCAGCGCTGCCCCTGAAGTGACGTCCTGCCCCTTGGGACGCCCCCAGCTTCTGCAGAACGTGGATGAAAAAGCTTTTTGAAAGAACTTGCTAGCGTGCAGGAGGTCTGATGAGCCTAAAATGGGCTGAGGGCTCTGGAAACTCAGCGGGCTCTTAGAACCAGCCTCCTTCCCAGCGGGACTGCCGGGAGGCAGCCCCGTGCAGTGGGAGCGCACTGGGTTCTTGTCCAGGCCTGGCCCCTCGGGGCTGGTTTCTTTGGGCGAGTCAGATGCCCTCGCTGGTCTTCGACCTCCTGGCTGTCCGCACCTGGGAGGCCGAGCTGAGGGATCTGTGAGGAAATTCAGTAGCACCCGCTCACGCGGCCCCATGACTGACAGCGTCGTGGACTCCCTGCCACACGGTCACTTGTGGCTCTTCCAACGGGCGAATAAATCAGCCGGCAGACTCCGAGTGTGTTCCTGGCCGCACGCCCTGGGCTGGGACCGCGAGAGGGGCAGCAGCCAGGAGGATGCAGTCCAGAGGGAGGGATTCCAGCTCCTTCTTGGAAGAAGAGCGCAGGCTGGGAGTCACAGTTTGCGCAGTTCACCTCCCACGCTGCTGGGCCGGGCCTCCCAGGGAACTGGGAGCTTGGTTGGATGTCTCTTGACAGCAGGTGTTTGTTCCAGCTGAAGACTGTTAGCTGAGGCGCTGGGATCGGGGAGCAGGTCCACGGGGCCTGCTCCCCTCCCTCACCCGGCACCTCCCCTCTCCCGGCGCGGGCCACCTAGACGGTTCTCTGGGCCACGCCGAGGCTGCTTCCTCCATGCCTGGCGGGCTTTGATCTTCCTCTCGGCGTCTCCAGTGGCCACCCACTCTGTCGCCTGTTTTCTCCAAGTGCTCATTCGTTTTTTTCCAAAAAATATGATGGAAAAAAAAATTCTCCGCACCAGACAGAAAACTTCAGGTGACCAGCGGCCAGCTAAGTGGAAGATGGCTCCAGCGTGCACTCAGTTTTGGGCACCAGAGCAGACTCACCTGCAGGGAAAGGACTGCCTTTGGAGCAGAGCCCGGCTCTGGGGCCTGGTGGTTCCTGAACGGGCGGGGCCCAGCTCTGTCTAGACAGGGGCCGCTTGGACCAGGACGTTGGGGAGGCTGGAACCCTAGGCATTTCTCAGGTGCTGGCTGGAAAGGAAGGGAATGGGACGCTGGGTGATGTGTGTGTGTAGGGGACTGTTGGTCTACCCAGTGGTATAAGGAGCTTGCTCTGCTGAGAGAGAGGAGGTGGCAGGCGTGGGGAGAGAGGGAAGGGACAGGGAAGCTGAGAGCAGGCACCTGCAGGGCTCAGGCGAGGAAACTGGGGTGGCGGGGGTGGGGAACAGCTACCCGCCCTCACACTCAGTAGGCTCCACCTGAGACTCATTTCACGCTACCTTCCGAAGTGGGTCCAGATCACCTCCTTCCTCTTCTCCATTGTCAGCTCTCTCCCATGTCCCACTCCCGGTCTGACACCAACTCCTATGGGTGTGTCCTCAGCCCCTTGTCTTTCTCCCACCGCTTCTTCTCCACCTTTCCTGCCGCCACCTGTAGGGACCAAGCCCACAGCTGCCCGCCCTGCACCGTCGCTGGCCCCACACTGACCGTGTCCTTCCATCACAGCTCACCCCGGGAACTGCGCCCTCCCTGTGCCCACGTGGGAAGTGCACCCAAACGGTCTGTGCAGAAAGGCCCGTGGAAGCAGGGCATCCTGTGCATGTGGACAGGAAGTCCTGCGAAGGCTGGGCACAGGCACTTCCCGCCCGTTCCCTTGGGCACCCAGCTCCTCGTCAACACCAAGCTCCGTCCCTCTCCCCGGGCCCGTCGTTCAGAACGGTCTAAAGCACTGAGCGGCTCAGAGCTCAGCGCCGGTGGGAGATTTGTTCACATGTTGAAAGTTCCAGGACCAGCTCTCCTTCCCCTTCCGTGGCCCTTCAAGCCTCAACTTGAGATTTGGGGTTAGAGGTTCCTTTCCCAGGTGTTGAAAGTGGGCAGAGGGGAGGCAAGATGCCCCTCCCTGTGCCTCTCGACCCCCCGCTTCCCGTGCCCGAGCATCCAGGCGCCTGTGCCCAGCAGGCTGCACTGTGAGACTGCGAATGGGTCTCTCCCGCCCAGCAGGGCTCTCCGCCCTGGATCCTGCCTGTGCTCTAGAAACCTCGGGGCCTGCAGGCCTGAGCGGAGTGAGTGTGTGTGTGTGTGTGTGTGCACGTGCGCCCACACATGCCTGTGAGAGTTGCCTGGGATGTTCCTCAGGGAGGTATCCAGCGGGGGCCCCACTCACAGTAGCTTCTTCTGGGAACTTCTAGCCAGCAGCACTCGTGCCCTGGCAGAGACAAGGTTTGTGAGTGAGACGGTGGGGGAAGTGCTGTTCTAGCTGGAGGGAAGCGGCTGTAATGTCCCCTTCTGGGCCATGCGAGCGTCCCTGCCGGCAGAGGGGTGGCTTTCTGCCTGCACTGCTCTGGGTTAACACTCCAGCATCCCCGGAGGGAAGCGGGCTTTATTTTCTGGGGAACCTGAGGGCCTGGGCCATTGGATGTGCACAGGTGTGACCCCATGTTAGTCATGCCCTGTCTTCAGGAAGATGAGCATCTGCTCCCAGGCCGATTTTCTTAGCTGGGAGGTTTTGATATGGATGAGACGAAACAACAGGCTTTGAGCATCTGAGTTAGATTTAGCTACTGACGACTTTGCTGAAGCTGATACACAGGATTTTATTTGGAAGTGTCTGTTGCTGTCTAACTAAGGCAGCATGTGGCCGCGAGGCGCCCAGAAGCCCACCAGGCTCCGGGGA